TTACCCAAAAGTGACTAATACAAGGTCTGTAGTTGGCCACAGAATTGACTATAATATGGTAGGGGTTGTGAGAGACTAGCGGCACATACCCAGCAAAAACTTACTCAAGTAACCCCCAGGGCTGGCTTATAACCAGTCTGTTGCAAAGATTGGATGAAGAACAAAAAGAACATCTGCAAAGGAGGTGAAAAGGGCTTGATATAGATTAGAGAATTTGTTCGAAAAAAATTCTCACAATCCATGTCTTTACTCTTCGCCCACAATTATCATGGGTTTTGAAGTGGATGAATGAAATGGTTATTTTTCCTGTCATACAGTGTAAAGTTAACTCATTATTTTTATAGGTTCTTGGATACAGTTTGAAGTTTCTGAATAATTGTATTTCCTCTGCAACTTGTGAAGCTCCAGGCAAACTTACTTCCTCAGCTCTTGAAGTTATGCATCATGTCACCAGGTCAGTGAAACTTACAGTGTAAGCAATGCTGAAGGTAACAGGAACAATAGTTTAACCCTTTCTATCTCCAGAATACCAAAAAGATTTGGTTTACCAAAAGTTATATCTCGAATTTTTTCAATTTTTTGGTGAACATACTTAACCAAAGAGGTTTCATCTAAATGGTCACACTTAAGGATTCCATCCACAGACTCAAAAGTTAGAACCATCTTGTACAGCATAATAAACAATACCACAGGAAAGTACTGCTCAGTAGCTTTCATTTGAATGGTCACACTTTAGGATTCCATCCACAGACTCAAAAGTTAGAACCACCTTGTACAGCATAATAAACAGTACCACAGGAAAATACTGCAGAGTTGTTCTGACCTCAGAATTTTATCTTACTTCTGACCAATGCTTCAAAAGTTTAAATCAGATGTGGTTGATCTGATGAGATACTAATAAAAATCAATTATAATACCATCAACTGACTTTGACTCTGAAGATGATTACTGCACAGGTTGTCAAAACGTCACTGTCAACAACAGTCCTATTCAGGACTATGTTCACCCGGACGATCATACTCAACCTACGTATAAAAATTCTTAAATCCATTTTTTTTTTTCACCAGGAAGTTCACAGAAGGTCAGATCAGTGGTGAACAATCAGTACAACAGGCTGTGTGGCTCCTACAAGAGGTTATCCAAAACTTCCAGTAATCTAACTTACAATTAGTTATTCATAGTTTTCTGTATTGCAGTAAGGTCCACTTGACTATAGAAGGTTTCAATGTCTTGTTTAATACACTCATCTTTTATAAATTATATCAGCTGCATTGTATCATCCATTTTCATTTGCTTGATCTCTTCTTGGTAAAGTTAAGTGTTAATGAGTCTTGAAACAGAGAAACAAAGAACTTGTGAAAAATGATTGTGTTTGAAGGTCATTATTGGAATAAACTGGAGATTTCTTGGCAGAAAGGAATTATAATAGTATTGCTCTTTGAAGCAGAACATCCATCTGTTCTCATAGAATCAAAGTTACCATCCATAAATATCAAAGTAATTAAGCAAAAAACAGGTTATAAAAGCAGGACACAATTTGAAATTACGGTTTGCTATAATATGTTAAAAAATTCTTTGACCCCATGTTTTCTTTTAATTTACAGATGTTGCAGTTCTGGCATAAAAACAATCTTCCCTTTGACAGTCTTGAGTGTTTCCTCTCAGAATACCTGGACATTCTTGGCTATCCTCTTAGTTTATTGATGATCAGGTTGGTCCTGATTTCTTGATTAAATGCATTTTCATTGTTATAATATTGTAGGGTGGGGTAGGGGGACTCCAGTAATCAGGAGACACTGTCACAAAAAATACAGTTAAACCTCCATTAACCCTCTAAGCTCCAATATCCACATCAAAATTCTCCACACTGATCTCCATACAGTTCTCATAGAATGAGTTGGGAGAATTTGTTCAAAGATCAAACTATATAGGCATTTTTCCTTGAGTGATCATTTTATTAATTCTCATAACCTTCTCTGTTGATTAAGTATTAACATTGTTAGGAGAAAACTGATGTTGATCACTCTTGAAACTTGAAGGGTTCAGTGGTCATCTNTATCCTCTTAGTTTATTGATGATCAGGTTGGTCCTGATTTCTTGATTAAATGCATTTTCATTGTTATAATATTGTAGGGTGGGGTAGGGGGACTCCAGTAATCAGGAGACACTGTCACAAAAAATACAGTTCAACCTCCATTAACCCTCTAAGCTCCAATATCCACCTGAAAATTCTCCACACTGATCTCCATACATTTCTCATAGAATAAGTTGAGAGAATTTGTTCAAAGATCAAACCATATAAGCATTTTCCCTTAAGTGATCATTTTATTATTTCTCATAACCTTTTCTCTTGAGTGAGTATTAACATTGTTAGGAGAAAACTGATGTTGATCACTCTTGAAACTTAAAGGGTTAAGTGGTCACCTATTAAGTGGCCAGTGATCAAAGTCCTTGAAAAGAAACAAATTGTAAGTGAAACCTTTATTATGCACCCACCTCTATCACGCATCGCCATCCCAAGGGGAGTTCTGTTCTTGTCACCTCTATCAAGCGGCCATCAAGAGCTTGATAATGACTTAGTTTGCCTTTGTTTTAAAAATATAATACATTTATAGTAGAGTCTGAGGTAGGTGACAACTGATTGTGGACCAGTGATGCCACTCCTGTTACGTATTTGTTTCAAAATAAAGTGATGTTTACGTAAGCATATTATCATATTAAAAACCTCTATTGACCAGCCAACCTCTATTTTGGCAGTCTTTTGCTGGTACCCTGAGGTTGTCCACTGAATAGAGGTTCAACTGTGATTTCATTGGCCTCATAAGTATGCACCATTGTGAGGGTAGGGGTAGGGTAGTGTTTTCCATCAGTTTAATCTAAGGCAGGGTAGTTAAATCAGAGAGGTCTTGGTAAAGAATAGAGTATCATTAAATGGGAAATTAATTAATTTGGTCTGTGATACTGAAAGTACTGACCAAACTGGCCAGCCAAACCAGTTCACTCGTAAAGAGAATTCAACTACTGATTAACCCATGAAGCCCCACTATACAAATACAATTTTTCCTGACTAATCTCCATAATATTATATTTCTGTAAGGAATTAGTGGAGAGAATTTGATGACCTTGATGATTATTTCTTCTTTCTGCCCCTGGGACAGAAAGCAGAGACAGCATTCAAGTTTCCTTTGTGAACTGTCTGACATTTTTGCGTTTTTTTTTATCAATTTTTTCAGAGACCCTTTCCTTTCATCGTTAATCTCTGAAGACCCTCAAGAGCTGAACAAAAGTGGAGAAATGGAAAAACCAATGCTTCAGTTTAGTGCTGCATTCTTCAACAAAGTTGTAAGCCATGTTGTGAATGAATTACAAGAAGAAGACAAAGGTGAGGAGTATTCTTCAGACTTGAAAGCAATTCTTACAGCATACAACAGCACCACAACTGTGTCCACTTTAAATGATGAAAGCTACTCTCAGCCATTTGCACAGCTCGATGCTGGTGTGCAGCTTCAAGAATTCAACACAGAACAGAAGCATCTATGGCAAGAAATTACGGACAACATCAAGAAGGATTTAGATAAACACCCTTACATTGCATTATCAATGACTGCAGCTGCAACTGTTGCATCCGCGGCTGTTTCTCAGCAGCGAGGCTGGAGGGAGGGAGAGGTGGCCTCTGAACTTCAAGCAGATGTCGTATTGTTTACCTGCAATCATCACTTTCCCAGAGTTTATTTTCAGGAATTTGTTTTGCCTGAGTTCCAGCAGCGAATGTCTGAATTGACACTGCCCCTGAAGCATACAACGAAACTGTTGCTGAAAATTTATTGCAGGGTCGAAGGCTGTCTACCGACTGCCTGTCCAATATGTGTGTACAATTCCATCAGGATGGAACAGTTGGAAATGGTTGAACAAAGTGCAAGTGGAGAAAGCTTGCAAGCTAGGCCATGGGATATTTAACATTAATTTTAATTTATACCTTTTTATAGACACAAGTTTTTGTGAGTAATATATAAGAATTGATGGTGAAGAAGATTGATCAATTCACATGGTAGACAGTTATTTTTCCATTTTGTGATATCAGTATTGAAGTCAAAACGGCCATATTTCTTAA